ACTTATCATCATAATTCTCCGAAAAGCAATATGACACTATGAAGGAGTTGTAACAGTGCGTTTATAAGTATGCTCATTCCGACTAGAGGATGTAGAGGGCAAATGCATAATATTGTATTCAGCAGAAAATATCAACTTGATGCATCAGGTCAGTGTTTTGAGAAAGGACACCTGCCTTGTAAACTCCTATGGGCCTGAATTTAACACAATAGGCAAAGGTTTTGCTCAAGCTGAATCTGCAATTGGGCGACTGCTACCATCATAACTCCATCTGATCATCCACAAAATGACTCAAACATCAAAACATGATCAATACTAAAGCAGCACCGAAAGTAACAACCCAGTCATTACTTGCAACTGAAAAATGTCCTGTTCATCTTCAAAAGAAGTTGGTTTTCAAAATTGCGAGAATTCCGTCTCGCTCTTCTTGGGCTGAAGACTAGTCCTGATGCTAAATAGCCTTTCCCAGGCCGCTGAGGCAGGTAGAGGTGTGTTCAGCTTCACAGAGAGCTTGCGCACAGCTGGGAAGGATTTCCCTAATGCTAACCCTAATGCTAACCCTAATGCTGCGCTCCCGCGGCTCCTGTCAATCCTATGGTGTGGTGGCTAGCTAACATTAGCCAACTAGTGCTGCAACAAAGTGTCAACACTTCCTCAGCTCACTAACTCGCTAGCGATCCACGGGTGTTGGTCTTCGTCACCACTGTAATTTGTTGCGGGAGTAGCAGGTGCTTCCATTTCTGCTTCCGTCATGAAATCAGTCATCGTAGAGTGGAATTATATTAATGTAGTCGCTCGCTAGCTATAGCATATAGCATCCTGGGCATCACTGGGAATCAAAACACCGCGGCTTTGAGAGCACTTGTTTGCAATTGCGCATTAATGTGATTAACCAATGATTTAACTTGCAAGCTAGGACCACTGATTCACCAAACCTGCTTGCTTGCAGTCTCTGTTCCACCACAGTCCCCGACGTTGGTCTCATGATTCATTTTTTTTCTAAAGATGGATTTGATTTTGTAGCGAGTAACGAAGGTTTCAGGGGAAATGTATCAGAGTAAAAGTATCAGTTTTCTTTGCAAAATGTAGTGAAGTAAAAGTAAAAGTCAACAGAAATATAAATAGTAAAGTAAAGTACAGATGTCCAAAAAACCGACTTAAGTACAGTAACAAAGTATTTCTACTTCGTTACTATACACCAATGCTTTTTAGTTAGCGATTGCTGCTCACCCTGAGGTAGTTGAGATTGCAAGTTTAGCAAGCTCTGTTACTCATACACATGGGAAGTGCTAAGGTGTGTGTATGCTTCTACAGAGGCCTATATTTTATGAAAGTATCATCCAGTATCATGTTTCACTGGTAATACTTTTTTCATAATTTTTCACAAATACACTACATGTATTCTAACTAGAAAATGCATTTCCTGCTGAAAATGCGTTGGAATGCTGAAAGATGAAATGAATTGTAAAGAAATTGCTGAAAATTAAGAAATGGGAGACTACCCGTCTGAAAAATGTTGAAGCCCGAAAGCATTTAAACTGCACTGCTGAAAACCCTTCTAGTTGAAATGTCTAACTATGGTGTCTGCAGCTGAAAGTATGAGGAAGAAGAAGGCTTTGAAAGTTGAAGAAGTTTAACAGGATTTGAAGATTTTCTTCATAGAGATCCCATTCAAAAGAAAATTGCAAATAGCTTAATATTTCAAAGAATTTAAAGATTACAAATATGAAGTCATTTCACCCCTCTCCTGCAAGAGCTGAACATTTTGATATTCGAATGGTTTCTGTGGCTTAAAAAATGTCAGCAGTAGTGATATTTGTAGTTGTAGTAGAAATATTATCAGTAGTAGAAGTATTAGTAGTAGTAGTAGTAGTAGCAGTAGTGATATTTGTAATAGTAGTAGTAGAAGTAGTAGTATCAGTATTAGTAGTAATAGCTGTAGTAGTAGTAGTAGTAATACTAGAAATATTAGCAGCAGCAGTAGTAGTAGTTGTCGCAGTATTAGTAAGAGCATTCATTATTTCAACAAAAAAGCCTAATTTTGAGCTTAATGTTTAAATACAGTTAATCCAAAGGGGAGAGGAGACAGAATCATAATGTTAGATAAACACAAACAGGTTATGAAATGACAGGCTTCATCATAAGCATTTCAGTTAGAATTAATTCTGTGGGGCTTTTATTTTAAAATCGGGTGTGTGTGTGGGGGGGATCCTCTAAAGATCTCTAAGAACCTGAATGACTGTATGAGAGAGAGAGAGAGAGAGAGAGAGAGAGAGAGAGAGAGAGAGAGAGAGAGAGACACAGAGAGAGAGAGAGAGAGGAGTGTATGTGTGTCTGAGTCTGTGTGTTTATCAACATCACTAATCACTTTAATGGAGATAAAACAGGGAAACACCTCTCAAACAAATCATCAAAACTCCCATAACCGTAGCTCCTATTGCTCCGATATTAATAAATGAGAGGAAGGTTGACTTGAGAAACAGATCCTGTAAAAATTGTGTCTGTAGTGTAAAAAATGTGGCTGAACTGGCGATCTAGAAATGGGGTACCGTGTTCTGTGGAAGATGTTTTTGAAGCAAAATTTAACATCGGTCTCTATGGAGCAGAAAGTTGGTTTTCCTCTCAATTACAGGCTTCTGTGCCAAATGTGTAAATCTGTGGGATTCCACAGTCATTTGTCTACGACAAGGACAAGATTAGCTACTTTTAAATCCACAAATTATGCATGAAGATTGAAAATTCTGGACTCGCAAGAATCTCAAGCTGCTCTTCACTCTAGCGGTGACATCGCGCACTCTAAGCTGCGCAATACACACCCATTATAAAGTCAGAAAAGGGCTGAAAAAATCATAAAAGTTAAATTGCTGCAGTTCAAAAAGTGTAAAAGATATCAAAAAGCTGAATCATTCTGCAATAGCTCAGGGTTTTGTCAACATTTGAAAGTTGAAATGGTGTCTGCAGCTGAAAGTATGAGGAAGTAGAAGGATTTGAAAGTTGAAAAAGTTTAAGAGGATTTGAAAATATTCTCCATAGACATCCCATTCAAAAAAAAGTTGGAAAAAGCTTAATAATTCAAAAAGTTTAAAGATTAGAAATATGAAGAGATGTAGAAGACGTGTCCTTAACGAGCTGAACATTTTAATATTTGAACGGTTTCTGTAGCTTAAAAAATGTGGAGGGAGATAAGTGCTGAAAAAAGTGGAACGGAAGAAATAGTTGAAGAATAAAGATTAGCATTCCAACAATTATTTTTCCCATTATCTTATTTTCTCATTGCACAGCTACTGTCTTCCTCAGTTGCTCTGCTTCCAGTGCAGCTTGTTTTAAGTAGAGCTTTTATCCAATCAGATTTCACCTCTGTGAACAGAGGCAGAGGCCTGCAGACTCACAAGTTCATGTGCAGTTTAAGTGAATGGGGACGATATTGTTGATTGTCAGTCTTCAACCAATCAGATCTTTAGTTTGACATGCTGGGCGTATTCTTTGACATGTCAGAGCTACCGAGGTAGTCTACAATAACGTCAGCATTAACGTGCAGCTGGCTGAGCAATAATGTGCGGCGTCATTGGTCAGTGGGCTAGCGTGACTGTTGTGGCACTGAAGCTAGCTAGCAGAACTTAGTATTAGTAGTAACAGTTCAAGTTGAAAGATATGTAAGAAGTTATGACATTGACATTACATTTTTAGCGTTTTGCTTGGTGTATATTCTTCTTTTTTTTACCTAGCTTTGTTTTTTTAACACTCTATGGCTGAAGGAGGAGGAACGGATTTCTCGAGGACATTTCCAGAAAAGCTGGACATCGTATCAAAGGGTCGGCCAACTCCACAGCTAGCAGCCCTGACCCAGCCAGGAAAAGGATTTGTATGAACGGTATTTCTGTCTGACAGCGTCGGAGAAGCGTTGCACATTTTATGGCTAAGAATGCGTTTTATTTGCAACTGAGTGTCTTGCTGTTTGGAGCTACGCTACGCTAACCTGAGGTGGCTAACCAAGGCAACAACACAACACCATAGCACGACAGGACACTTACAAACTACGGTGCTTTTGAAAACTTTTGGAGAGACCCGAGTGGATCTACAACTCAACGAACACGTTCGCAGGAGGACCTCTGGCTGGAACTGAACCGCACCTATGTACTGTACAACCGCGGTACTAAACTCTTTGTTAACAAAGAAAGGAGGATGGACTTTGTCTTTAAGTGAACAGCAGCTTTGGTAAGTGAAGTGCTTTTGTGTTTTTACATCTGCAGTAGCGTTACTACTGTGTTCATTTGTCTATGGTGACATTTTTATGATATGGTTAATATTGTTCCCTCTGAAGTGAATAATATTTGAATGGTGCTCTTCAGTGTGCGGTGGAATACGTGTTTTAGCGCCACAGAGTTGCTGGATTAATTTGTCATGCTTTGTTGTCATAATTATATGTGACTGGTTCTTGTGAGTTTGCTCTTGTCATTGTGTTAATTACATTGATTCTGACTATATGCATTGTCCGTTAATGACACAGCATCCCGTCATGCGCGAGGTTGGTGTCGGACATTTGATTCTCTGTTTGGGCTTTTGTTTTTTTTACAAAGCAAGAATGATGGTCTGGAGAAATGGGGATTGTGTGGCGATTGCTTTAGCCTGTTTCAATCATTAGGGAACAGCTAAACGCTGCGGGGAGAGTGTAGCGTGTGTGCTGCTGCTGTTGTTTTCCTGCTAAGCTAGTTTAGCATAGCCTCTCAGAACACACGTGCCTCACCAGGGTACAATGTTTTGTTTCCGGGGTCGAAGTGTCTCTTACGTGATGGGTTGCCAGGTTGAGCGAAGTCCACCGAAAACATTATATTTCCCACAATTTAATATTCTGTATTTTCCTCATGCACTAGTATTATTCAAACGTATTGTTCGGTTCATAAGCCTCGTACCAAACGGTTTATACAAATACGTGTATTATTACACCCCTAGAAACAAATAATAACCGTAGCTGTGGCGTCATAATGAGGTTATTAGGTTGTTCAACTGTAGTAGGACAGCATTGAAGGCCCAGGTATAAAATGCACGGCCCACCACTGGTTGGTACTGATCTGACTGAATGGCTTCAAGCAAATATCTCATTATTTATCATTAGTGAAGTCCATAGGGAATCTTCCATTACTTTTTGCCATCTTGGTGACTGAAGCCCTATTTGCATGGGACTAGTATTGTAAATAACAGGGCTGCCGATTTGCACAGCACTAATATTATTACATGACCTCTGTGTTTGGCAAAATATGGTCGGTAATATGCGGTGAAATTTGTACATGACAAGTTACGGACTTGACAGCTTTGCACAGAATTAAAATCACAGACGACATCTGAAATTATGAGAAATGACTAGAGGTCCCCAGATAGCACTGTGTGAATAGGACTTCACGCTGTCACAAGTAGTTTAAAGAGTGAACTTGTGGTGTAGTCAAATGATCTACCCATTGAGCCTCAGACCTGCAACAGTGTTCATGCGGAGCTGTCTAACAGACGGATGAGTTTGGTGCTGACAGCAGGCCTCAATCAACTGTGTCAAATTGCTGCCAAAAATAAGATTAAATCAGTCTGGTGAAGTGGTGCCATGCTTGCTCGCAAAATATTCATTTGATTTGTAGAAAATGATGATTCAGCCCAGAGGTCTTTGTTAGGCTGCAAAAACTGGTTTGACTGCAGACTCAACTCCAGTGTCACATGTCAAGATGCTAATCGGACTGTAAATAACCAGCAGCGCAGGGCTCGGGTATCACGCGGCTACACTGGAACCCCAGAAATACAGCCCCTTACCTTATCGTGGTCAGACAGATAGCCGATGAAGGAGCCTTGTCCCCAAATTTACACCACCTTGAAGGTCTTAAATACATGCGTGTATGCATGTATGTTGGGGGTGGGGGCCGCTGCTCTTAGCTAACTAACAACTGCTTTCTAGCCCGATCCATAATGAGCAGACAGTAAGAGCTGCTCTCGTCAGCGATGTCTGGCTTTGTGAGAGATGGATGGAGGGAATGATACAAAGGGAGGAAGCCATTCATGACTGGTGAAAGCCAGTGATCTCTCCCAGAACTTGCCATTACAGCGTCCATGCACAGGTCGGTTAGGTTTACTCATCTTAATAACAATAGCAGTGTTGCTACGAAGCTTTGGAGAGTGTGGGACTGAATTAGCACGGGGCTAGAGGAGGGCACTGCTATACAAACTGCTCCTGTAAAGCCATTGTTTGCAAAACTTAGCATACATATGTGCGTGAGAAAAACAGAGCAGGCAGGAATGCACTAAACAGAGGCCCTCTGTTTCAATGCATGCTGGTGGTGGCAGGTAGTAATTTAAACTCTGCCAGAGGAATCCACTGGGACTCACCAGGGCTGTTCTGACCTCCACACCACAAGCCACTGGCCTTGTCCTTCGTCTTCAGATCCAGCTGCAACAGGAAGCCATGCTAACTGTCTTGCCTAAAGGAACCCGATGGATTTCTCTGTAGTGGCAGCGCTGGGGAAGATTAGAATAATGCAAAGGGAAGGAAAGTGCATTTCAGGACTGTCTGTGCTCCCTTTTGTGCAGCTGCTTAGCGTAGACTACTCAGGCTTTATTATACGTAATATTCCCCTGTCAACACCATGCAAATAGAGATCAATTACATTTTTCATTTAACATGTGATGGTGTTTAAAATCTTCAGCTGTCAGGTTTTCAGGTGAGACGTGCCTAAACCTGCAAGCAGCTCCCATGTTGAAAGACTGTGCTGGAATGCAGCAAACTGTGTGTGTGGAATAGAGAAAGTGTTGTAAGACATGTAAGGGCAGATGGAAGAGTAGGGGGATGCTTGGCCTCTGAACAAACCAAAGTGAGACTAACCCTGCAGGCAGCTACTAGAATCAGCCTCTGCCACATCCTGCTGGTTTTATTAGTGTGTGTGTGTGTGTGTTTGTCCCACTTCCACTGTTGTAGTTCTGTTATTCCACGGGTAGCGACACAGATATCTGCTAATACCATGTGGGACCTTGTCTTCACGCTTAATGAATCTCTGCAAAATGAAAAAACATAGCAACAAATATAACTCTGGTTCCAGGACTTGTGCTTCTTAACAGGAAAACGGTCAACGTCCACTTGGAAATATCTTCTGCTGTAGAGGATTTCATGCTTTTTGTAGCAGTCAGAGACATCAGAGACTCACTCATATGTGTTCAAACCTCCCGCACGCATTTTTGTTCTGTAGCAAAAGCTGTGATTAGCCTGACTGGGTTTTGAAGCTCTGTGTGGTTACTGGGACAGGTTCCAAGACACTGGTCTCACAGCTCCCGCTCGGAAACGTCTCAAAGGAAAAGTCCACCAAGAAATGTTTCATAAACATAACTTCTTTATTCAAACCACAAATATGTGACGGTGACAGCATGGGCTTAAAGTAGATGATGTTCCCTTGACTATGAACTGAAAATGTATTTTTGTGTTTATGAGAGAATCCGAATGAGCACAAACTAATGGTAGTAATAATCAAGTATGCAATATTTAACATTATATCACATTGTGGGTACCATTTGTGCCTGCAGATTGTATTATTGATTGTAAAACACATTTACATGTTTATGACACTTACTGGAGCTGTACCACATCACAGAAAATGAAAACCAGCTAGCTGATAGCTGAGTTGACTCGTGGGCTGCACTTTATTGGGCTCATTTGTGTTACTGTTACTGTAAATGGTACTGTCTTATTGCTGGATATTGTAGAGGTGAAGATATGGAACGTTTACGTGACCTTCACATAATCACTCTCCACGATCACACACTCATGTCCCACAAAAGGTTCACTATATTGGGAATTACAAACTCATGGGTTAAAAGAAAAGCTTTTGTGAACAGTGAGACAAACCTTTAGAGAAAACAATGTCTGTCTCCCAGCCAATCCAAATGGACCTTTCAATATATCAAATGATGGTTGGTATGTGAGAGTACACATTGACACTTAAATCCATCTCCCCTTTAGCTTCATCTCAGCCTGATGCAGATGGTGCTGCTAGTAGATATTGACATATGCATTGATGTACATATGGCCTCTTGATGCCATTTATGCTGGCGACAAATTATCTGTTAAGTGCCAGCATCTCGATCCATTAACTGACGTTGACCCTAACAGCTTGGCTGCAGGCCTCCAGAGGTGTACTTTTACATGGGGGTGAGGAACCCTGCAGATGGTGCAGGACTGTCCTCTTTAAGTGCTGACATTGAATCCATCATTTACCTCTGAGAGTCATCCCAAATCCCTCAGGTTGTAACCCAGCGTCCCTCGGAGGGAAACCTGCAACCATCCTGAGGGAAAAGTAAGGCAATCAAGAATGAAAACTAGGATCTCAGGTTTGTGTTAAAGATTAGCTTCTTTATCCCGGGTCAATTCAGATTTATTTCACAGTCATCATGGCAGCCAAGATGGAAGATGTTTTCATTCCAAACTGCAAAAGTACTTCAAAGTAGAATGCTAAAAAGAGGATTTATTTTGGAGGAGAGGAAAGCAGTCTCCATTCCGAGTTAGCCGTACATTTGCCAGAAAAGCTCAGATTAAAATGTAAACTGCGGGATCAAACAGCTGACATAGCATTAATGTGCAGGGAACTGGCCTTAATCTGATCCATGAATCATGCTGGAGATAATTACCATCTGCTCACTTACACTTCCTGTCCCCGGAACACTGTCTTGTTTTCAATCAATTGCATCTCCCGAAATAAGATTACAGCTATCATTTTTTATTTTTTGGAGGAGGGGCTGCATGGCTGCATCTTCTCCAGGTGATGACCAGTATGTGTGACTGCAGGAAGGGCAAGCAGTTTATTTCTTTCCCACTGTTTTGATGGTGGGGTCGAGGGCTCAGAGCAGTGAAGCTGAAATGTTCTTATTTATGCTGTGCATAACACTGCAATCCCAGATTAGATTAAGACCGTTTGCCTCCTTCCTTGGAGCTCCTGCTCTACTTCACTTAAATAGTCCAAGAAGTCTTTCAAGAAGTCTTTTATTTCTTACATTTCAAGACAGAATACAACTGCAGATGAGCCGTGATCATCTAGGGAATGCTTTCATCCAAAATGCCCCATAGTACCATACATGCACAGAGTACATTCTTTCAGCAGGTACCTAGTGGCCAGTAGAGATACTCTTTATGCCATGCCATCCACCTGTTTACAACCTATCATACAGTACAAGCAAACTTCATATTTAATACCAGTGACGGAATAAGCAACAATAGAATTTTGACCAAAAAAACCATCCTTTGGTATTATTTATGTAGAGCTAGACAACACAAGCAAACCCCACAACCATCATCACATTTCCATTCAAATGCAGCTGATTGGTGGAGGGAAATACTGTGAAAAATAATATTAAAACAGAAAACTGTGTGTTCATGTTGGACCCTATTGTAAGACTGGAATCGTGTGATGATCAGATATGACCACTAGCCGGTGCTGTTTAGGGGTTTGATGCACTGTTGCCAACTTAGCAACTTTTCAGGCTACCCTAGCAACTTTTTTTCAAACAGCACCTAGCAACAAATTTAGCAACTTATGAAAATATATTTGGCACTTTTAGCAACTTTTTTAAAGTGACTCAAATGCTAAAATGCACACAGGCATTTTCCATCTAAATGACACAAAAAAGATTTTCTCATCACACACACAGCCACACCCACAGCACACGTGCCTGGCTGCAAAAGTGCATTGTGGGTGACGTCAACAGCATGTGCTCAGCTCGTGCACAGGAGGGGGCAGCAGCCGAGTGAGCCGAGCCGAGTTAGCCGACAGCCCGACAGTGACACACAGCAAATCATTGTTGGCTGACTGCAGCAGCAGCAGTATGTCTCAGTCAAAATTGTACAGCCAGAAGTACAGAAAAGAGTGGAAGTCTGTACCTGAATTTAAAGGGTGGCTAAAGCCAGTAATTGGGGATGATTGTCAGGCATACTGTGCGTACTGCAAATCAGATATGCTTGCAAAAATCTATGACATCAGAAAACATTGTGCTACAGCAAAGCATATAAATAAATCAAAACCGCACAACCCTGCAACGCAATCTAGATTACCACAGTTGGTTAAGAAAGTGGATAAATGCAAAAGCGCAGAAGCTACTATGGCAATGGCCATTGCAGAGCATTGTTCGCTGCTAGCATGTGACCATTTAGGTATGGCTTGCAAAGCTGCCTTTTCAGATTCTGTGGCAGCAACAAACTTCTAAATGCACCGCACTAAGTGCACAGAAATGATTAGGGGAGTACTGGCTCCTTATTTTCTCAAAAGAGTAACATCAGATGTGGGGGATGAGAAGTTTAGTCTCCTTTTGGATGAGTCCACTGATGTCAGTGTCTCGAAATACTTGGGTGTGGTGATTCGGTATTTCAGTGCTATAAAAAGAACCGTTGTGTCCACATTTCTCGGGCTGGTTGAATTGGAGGGGAGCGATGCCAAATCAATAGCAAAGGCAGTAGTTGAGTTACTTAAGAAGTGTAACCTTAAAAAAGAGAATCTTCACAGTATTGGCACTGATAATGTGTCCGTGATGACTGGGGTGCACAACGGGGTACACAAGATTTTAAAGGAAGAATGTGCATTGCCCAATTTGGTACTCATCTGCTGTGTGTACCATTCTTTACAATTAGCTGTCAGTGCTGCATCCAAAGAAACCATCCCTAGGAGTGTTGAGTACCTAATCAGGGAAACCTACAACTGGTTTTCGATTTCCCCAAAAAGGCGCGAGGCATACAAAGCAGTGTATGCCACAATTAATTGTGGCCAGAAACCCTTGCAGATCACCAAAGTGTGTGCCACACGTTGGCTATCGATTGAGCCTGCGGTAACTCGTATATTGAGCTAGTGGGATGAATTGAAACTCCACTTTGAGTTGACCAAGGCCAGTGATCATTGCTACATGGCGGATGTGCTCCATGCCATGTACGTGGACAAGACCAACTATGTCTACCTGACATTCTTGAAATCAATCTTGTCCGACGTACAAGTTGCATTGAAGTCATTTGAGGGAGAGCAAACAGATCCTGTCAAGCTTTTGGACAATCTGGTACACCTCTTAACATCAATTTGCAGCAGAGTAGTCCACCCTATGGCAAAAATTGATGTCCTGAAGGATGCCATTGATGGACATCTCAGTCCATCACCATACCTTAGGTACCTTTTCGAGAGCACAGTGTCCCGACTCAGTCTTGCGCCAGACGACAAAAAGGTCATTCGTAGACGGTGCATCAACTACATTGTTGCTTTAAGCAAGGAGCTGCAAGGAAGGCTCCCAGACAACCTAGAAGCCTTGCGAAACATGGCCTTGTTCAGTGTTAAGGACACGCTAAACCACAATAAAGGCACCACTGAAATTATTAAAGTAGCTGAGCTACTGGGGTACCATCCCCAAACAATTGACAAAATTGTTTCCCAATGGAGAATCATCCATCTGTTTAGGTGGGACTCAACTGATAATACAGTTGAGTTTTGGAGTGAAGTGAAAAACTACAGGGACGCTTCCGGGTCAAATCCATTTGAAGAACTGTGCAAAGCTGCACTCGCTGCCCTCTCCTTGCCACACTCAAATGCGGAGGTTGAACGGCTGTTCAGCCAAATGAGTGTGGTCAAGTCAAAGCTGAGAAATAGGATGTTACTGCACACTCTCAACTCCATACTCCTGGTGCAGTATGGACTGAAGCTGGCTGGAGATACCTGTTACCAGCCTAAACTACCAAGTGAAGTTCTGGAGCAGTTTGGCACCAAAACAGCATACGGCTTTAAGGCCACTCCATCCTCTTCTGCTGGTTCCAGCTCTGTGACAATGCAGTTGGACAGTGAAGATGAAGAGGTTTTCTTTTCCACTTTTTGATTCATCATATTTACAGTATGTATGCAAGGAGTGGACTTTCTGGAACTGGCGGAGACACACAGCTGATGGTGGCAGTGTGCAGTGCCGTGTGAGCGAGAACAGTGGCAATATCTGGAGGAAACCATTGAGCAGCTAGCCAGCCAAGCAGCACAACAGCCTGGAGACAGCTGGAAAGAGATGCCCAGTGCACACATCATTATTTGAGTTAAGTTGCTTGTTCAATAAGATATCATATATACCTTGTTATTAGCTTGTACCTATAATTATCAGTTTGGTTGCATGTTAACTAACTACCAGTACACTGCTTAAATTGTTCAGAATGTGTAGGTTTACTAGTTAATAAGAAAAGAAAAAAAAGTAATTGTTCAATAATGTGTAATTGTTCAATAATTCAATGTGTTGTGTTTAAAAATATCTGATCATATAAAATGTGTTGTGTTTAAATTACTTCTACAAATAAAAATGTGATAATAAACAAAAAATCTTAATTAACAGATGTCAAATCATATTATTTGTCGAGATGGACAGTCAATTTGAGTAACGTTATTGTGTAGTCTACGTAATTATGCAGTTTTACGTTATTACGTAATGACGTCATCACGTAATGACGCAGTTTTACGTTATTACGTAATGACGTCACAATGTCATTTAGCAACTTTTAGCAACTAATCGACCTGCCTCTAGCAACTTCCCCGGAAAAATAGTTGGCAACAGTGGATGTGCAGACAGGCGGAAAGGATGTGCAGGAAAAGCATCAATTTACCGCAGATATCATATTTTACACATATTACTGGGTGATTCCATATTTCAAAAACACAAATATTGACAATTTGTATAGTTTATTGTTATTTATTTTAATTTGTTTGTTGTGGCTCAAGGTGGGGCGGCGCCCTAGCCCTCTCTATTGACCAGCCGCCACTGGATAGAACTGAATGAGGATGGTCCATGTCTGAGATGGCATAGTCCAATGCACTTGTCCCAAGACCTGAATAGGTGAAACATCCCAAACTGTTGTGATATATTTGGTAAGATCCGCTTTGAGCCAGATTATTATTTCTCGTGAGTCTCTACCACGGTTTAGTGTCCTCAGTGGTGTTAAGATCAAATGTGCTAGAGTGTAAACCCTGAATATTCCAAGAGTTTATTATGAAAGACAAAGCGAAAGAGGCAAAAGACCAATCTGGTGCCACTGATTTACAGGAGAGAAAATACCTTTAGACTAAACTTGTTTTGTATGTGTGTGGTGTGTGTGTGGGGGAGAGAGAGAGAGAGAGTGTGTGTGTTCTTTATCTAAGGCACACGTGTCAAACTTAAGGCCCGCGGGCCGAATCCGGCCCGCCACGTCATTTTATGTGGCCCGCGAATCCACCAGCAAAAAAAATTAAAAGTTAGACTTGAAAATAAAAATATCCCCATGGTCGAAATTATGAGATAGAAAGTTGAAATTATGAGATAGCATGTTGTGAAGTATTATCACCGTGGCTGGACATTGATTACTTGTCTTCCTAACAGTCACTTGGTAACAATATGGTTAATTAGTTATTACCTTTTTTTTTTAAAAAACCGGTGGACAGGAGAGGGAACAGCCCGTAAAGCGGTTTTCCAACAAGTGATTGAGTTGAAAAAGATCGACAAATAATCCTAAAATTTCCACGAAGAGAAAAATTGATGCAGAGGGAAGAAAATGTAATTTAAGATGGGAAAGCGAATACATGTCTGTGCTTCAAGGAGAAAAACGGGTCTGTCTTCTGTGTTATGATGCATGTCGGTGATGAAGGATACAATTTACGTCGGCATTTTCACACCAAACACAGAGCTAAATTTACCCTCCAAGAAAAACATCAAATTGTCCAAGAATTAAAAAGGCAGACTGCAATCACAGCAGAATATATTTACAAAAGCTACAGCCCAGTGCATGCTAAAGGTATGTGAGCAGGTGTGCTCCGACCAGATACAGACTTTTACAAATATCAGTTTGTGAAGAAACACCATCGCAGACCGAGTTCAGGAACTAGCAGCAATCTAACAACACAGCTAAGAGACGAGATGCATCATCTATCAATGTTTATAAGAGGCTCAAGGCAGACTTGACTGTCAGTGAGGAGCTCTTGGATGTAGCTGCCATGCACGGGACGACAGCAGGGAGGGACATTAGTGATGCAGAGAGGTGACAAAAATAGCTTTGAACAAAGTTAATGTAATAACTTGTGTTTGATGAAATTTGTCTTTTAATTTCTTTAACAGTTTGATCTTTGATAGAGTAATGTGGGTTTCTTAACCCTAAATTAAAATGATTTGTTATAACAGAAATGTGCTTAAATATTATTTTACATTTATATAACTGCATGTACAATATTTTTACACTTGAATGAACAATAATCAAAAGCAGAGACAGTTATTTAACAATATGTTAGGAGTAGTTACAGTCTTACAGTTACAACCAGCCCTTTGAGGGAAACTATGATGCTGATGTGGCCCGGAGTGAAAATGAGTTTGACACCCCTTTGACACATCATGTTTGCAGCAGTCTGTTACACCGAGTATGGAGCGTCGTTTTAATCACTCCTAGTTCAGACATTGGTGTAGTAGATAGGAGAGGGGTAGGACTGTTCATCAGATATGAGTACACTGAAAAAAAAAAAAGTGACATTTACTTGAAAAAACGCTAGGTAACAATTTGCACTCAGAAATTCCGAGTAATTTTTACTCAGGAATTCTCAAGTTAAGTTTACTTACTAGTAAGAATTGTTTTTTTATCCAAAATTTTTAAGTAACTTTTACTTGCAAATGTCTTCCTTAGACATAAAATGTACTTAGCCTTTGATAGTAATCTTTACTCAGGCTACCTTTGCATCTAATTACAAAACCCCAGTAAAACTCAATTAGGTGTTTCATGTATATTTAACTAGCTTTTCCAATTGAGAAATATTAAGTAATATTTACACAATATATCTTTTATCTACTACTACTCTACACAACTGTTCAAATATGAATGTTGCATTTTTTTTTAAACTGGGCTACTGTTAATTTAATAAAATTGTCTTAACATAAGGCTTCTACAAAACATCTTTTAAACTACAGCAGCTTTACTTGTTAACTGGTGGAAGAGGTCACTGCTGACAGACACAAATACCAACATATATAATCTGGTTGGCATTGCCAGACAAAACATTTCTAAATCAGTGCTGCCAATAAGAAATTTAAGAACACAAACGTTTAGTCATTTAACAAACACTTTTAATTTGAAACGATGGGTATTGCTTGACAACACTTAGATACACATAGATATAGCCCATGAGCAGAAGGCAAGCCTTTGCCACACTTTGACAGTCATCAAGAACCTCTTTTCCCTCTGACGACGAACACGATTGTCAGGAGTGAAGCCTTTCTGTGTTGCATTTCCATGGATGACAAGGATCTTCATGACATGTTGAGCATAGTCCTCTTCAATGACTTCTTTGAAATTCAAATTTACTAATGTTCACTTTTACATCTTCGAGTCTGTGTTCTCAAAAAATGACGATAGTGGGGGAAACAAACAAAAATATTGAATGTGTTCAAATGCGTCATTATGTATCTATTCTCAGTGTATATGAGCCCAACATAATTTTATATAATATTAGATATCTAAACTTTACCAGGCTGGGTGATTCCAGCATGGGTATTTGTTCCTGCAACTCCGCCCTTTGTCCCAAGTATCTCCAGAAAGTTGGTAGTGCAAATGTCCAATTTCAACAAAAGGTTTCGCTCCAGATGAACTGTGGTTATTCTTCTGAACTCCTCATTGATCTGAAACAAGACAATAAAAAACATGATCAAGATGAGGTACCGTGCTAAAACAATTAATGCAGTAGTCCTCCCAGTATAATGTAATATTGACAGCAACACAAACTATGACTTCAAATGTATATGTCAAGTTAATTAAACTATAACAGTACTAAGTTGATTTTACCTTGTGTCAACTTGCTGAGAGTGAACGTCCTTTAATATTCTGTGCAATATATAAAGAAATTATGTTAAAACATGAACACACAACATTAAATCTGAATTTGGCTTAAATCTTCATATTGATAGCATGTTTTATCCCCACACAAAAAAA